AGATATATTGCTGAAAGCCCATCTAGCCTAGCACTTTGTCTCCTACAGTGGCCAAAAGCAGGTGCTTGGGAAAAAGCACAGCAACAGGAAAGCACAAAGTGGAATTACCTCCAAATATCTTCTCAACAGCCAGTAATCTTTGGCTCAGGCAATTCCTGAGTGGTGTCTTTATATTTAATAGATTTAATAGATTGGCTTTTCCATCCATTCACTTTTGACCTCTTGTAAACATTCAGCATCCTCAGGAGACTGTGAAAGACAATGAGGAAAGGGAGTGCTCCCCTGGGGACAGGGGTGTCCAGGGCTTCAGGCCATGCTCCAGCGAGAGCTTGTCTTTCCCATGAAGTAGCCATGGGGTAGCTGTGAGCAGGGGGTGGAGCTGGCATAGCCTCTTCTGTGTAAATGTTGTCCCAGTTGCTCTTTTTTTTTCTGCAACAGAAAAAATTTTGAAGAGTCTACAGGAAGCAGCACCGTGTCAGAGGTAAGGCACAGGAGACCCACAGCACAGCTTTGAACCGAAGCGTCTAAGATCTGCCCGAGTCCTGTGATCACATCCCTCCTGGAGCTGGATCATCTGCCAGTCATTGCTCTGCCACTCCTCATACTGGTGCTTTGCCTTAGTAATTGCTAATTAAGAACCTTTAAAGCTGCTCCTACAAGGCTTAATGTAATAACAATAATATTTACTATATATAATATTAATGAACACAAATTAATCAATATTATTTAACTATTAACATTACTCCTTCAACACACTAACAACAATTTAAAGTACCCATAACCGTTTTTTAATTTTAAGAGCAATAATCAGGAGAATCACCTGCTCCCCTACCAGACGCCAAGGAACAAAACATTTCCTTTTTTCGTATTGTCTGCCCAAATCAATGAAGTATGCCGTATACTGCCCCAAGTCTGAGGTCTTTCTGAAGGGGAAGAAGAAAACTGGATACGAAGGAGGACGCTCTATGCTTGCGTAGTTTTACCAGGAGAGGTTTCAACAATCCTTGCAAAATGTCATTTTCATGATGGCACATACACATGAAAATCAAAAAGAGGATTTGCAATTCAGCAGCCAGTGCAGCCTGTGGGCTAAGGAGCTGGAGCTGCACCAAGATACCGGTGAGAAGAGTGCAGCCACTCAATGGCTGCTAGCAGCTGCTGACAAAGGTACCAAGAGAGGGAGATGGCAGGTTAGCAAGGAAGTACATAGAGGAAGCGAGGACAAGGTCAATAATGGAGAATTCAAGTGACATTGCCAGCATGAGGGTCCCAAGATGGTCAAAAGTGGATCAGCAGCAGTGGCATTGCCTCAAACTCTGCCCACAGTCTTGCTTGTCTCAGGAGAGACCATGCGGTCAGACTGAGGAAGGGAAGACATTTCCTCTGAAGGAGTGACACAATCGCACAAGGCAATGGAATGCAAACAGACCCAGAGGCTAGGGTCTGCAAGTCCTGCACCTTGCTCCTCCCAAGTACCTTTGATTTGGCTTATGATGCACAGGACAGGTTACAAACAGCTGCATCGGGCTTTCCTAGCACTCACAGTCAATAGGCAGCAAGAAGCAGACACATAATGGTGCTTGCCCAGAGTAACTCCAAAGGGCACAGGCACCTCATTCTAAGGCAAGACACCCTGCAGTCAGGACTCCCCCACTTTTGGGCTCAAGCCAGCGTGCTCCATATCACACCAAGCCCTTGTCACTAAGGATCTCTGCAAAGCACACATGGATGGCATTTACATCAGATCTAAGAGGAGCTGGAGAACTTAGCTACCCATTTCCAAGTGCCTTGAGACATGGGATTATTTCAAAGGGTGTGAAAATCTCCTGACCTAGAACATCTCTAGAAAGTTTGAAGGTCCTGCCAGTAGCTTCAGAGAAGGAGCTTACTAGCTGGTTTCTGTTGTGGTTAGAGAACACCTCAGGTTGTTATTTGTGAAGAGCTTCCTTTCCATACAAGCTATTTTGTCCGTACAAGGCCTCAGTCTGATATGTTTAATGCTGTTCTCCCTGGAGATACACAGTCCGGTATGCTCATTTTCACCAATTCTCCTGTTTCTCTTGAAATGGGAACTCTTCAAGTTTCTGCCTGTTGCCTGTAATACTGAGTAACAACAAATTAGCGAAAGAGTCACGCACCCTGACATGGACTTCCCCAAACACATACCAGGTGACCAAGAACAACCTTGATACTTCAGCATCCTAACTTATCCAAATACGAATTTCTGGAAACAGGCTTTTCAGCTGCGCCACAAGTGCTGTGCCAAATGCCGGTGGACTGGGGCTGCAATGAACAGTGCTGCTACTGAACCAGGATGCAACGACGAGCACTGAATTTCATGTGTACAAGCCATACCTTGGGAGCCTGATGAAGGAAACCTGGCTATATTTTTGCTATAAGGCCGTGGAGACGGCAGCATGTCTCCGTGCGGCCAGCAGCGGCTTTACAAGCCGAGAGGGACCCATCTTTCGGGAGGAACACTTGAGTTTTGCGGGCTCTGGAAGCCAGCCGGTCCCGCAAAACAGCGCCCGCCCCCCGGCGGGGACTCTCGGCTTTTCTGCCAAGGGCTCAGGCACCACTAGAGGGAAACACCGCTCCACCTCCGCCCTGCCCGGCGCGGCACGGAGAGCCCGGCAGCGGGCGGGCGGCGGAAACAGGCGAGCGGGAGGGGCCGGGCAGCCCCGCGAGGCATCCGCGCCCCAACACGGGGGAGCGGCAGCGGGGGTGCCGCACCGAGCGCAAACGGGAACGGACAAGGGGGGAGTCATGATAAAATAGACGGAGAAGCAGAAAGAGGAAAGAAGGGGAAGGAGAAGGAGCAGAAGAGAGAGGAGACAACGACAAAGAAGAAAAAATTAAAATTCCTAATAAACCGATGAGCAGCTGGGAGAGATGCTAAAGTTTCTGAAGGTGCGTGGGTCCTCGCCTCTCTCAGACCAGTGGGCACAGCTCTTAACTTTAATGTAACTGTTACCCAGAAACAGCTTCCTCCTGGTTCGCTTTATCTTAGCAGTACGGAAATCAACCCTGCTGGCAGGAAACCCTTGACCCATTTAGCTCCTAAAAAGACAGCACTGCTCTGAAAAACTACTGAATTGTTTGTTACTACGAAGACAACTACCAAAGGGCAGAACAATGACACTATTAGAATTATCATTACCATCATCTTTGTAACATGCTGCACTTAGCTTGTAGAATACAGGTTTCCTCCCCCAGATTTTCTCTTTAAAGAAAACTATGTCCAGTTCTTTACCATATCCATAAATGATGTAGTAAAGGGAATGAACAGCATAGTAGCAAAGGCTGCAGCTGATATGGAATGAGTCAGAAAAGATTAAACTACAGCTGAGAAGTGGAGAAATATTTCAGAATGTGATGTAGCAGAGCAGTAAGAAGTCAGATTTTCATAAATTTCACATCAACAAATGCACTGTATAGCATCTGAGGGGAAAACTCTATTTATATATGTCACAGTCATTAAATTAACTGTTTTTACTAGGAAAAAAAGATCTCTGAGCCATCTTGAGATCAGGGCTCCATGGTGGTCAAAATTAATAGGAATGAACAGGAATAAAAAGAGAAAAAAGCAGAAAACATTATTTCAGCTTCCTTCTTAAGGTAAATCCTTCTTAAATACAGTTTGAGCTCTGTATCAAAGAGCCAGAAAAAAATAGGTTCAGTAAAAAGTGACCAGGTATGGAAAGGCTCCCATATGAGAAAAAACTAACCAGGTTAGCAGGACTAGGCGAAACTTGGAAACAAGACAGCAGAGGGTGGTGACAGCTCAGTCACAGGTGGCCTAAAAAGGAGAATAACAGATCTCACTCCCTGTTTCACATAACAGAAGTATTCCTTATTCGAAATTAAAATACCATCTAGTAGGTTTTTTTAAATACCATCTAGTAGTTTTAAAACAAACACCAGGAAGTTTTGGTAGAGTTTTCTTTTCAGCACATGTATAATTAAATCTCATTGTTGCAGGATATTGTGGAGACCAAGGATCTGGAGAAGCCCACCAAAGGATTAAAGAAGTTCACTGCAGCTAAATCCATGGGTAGCTGCTAAACACAGGTGCATGGGAAGCTTCTAAAGCTCTGAAAGCCAGATGTGCAGTCCACAAGCAGAAACATTACATATTTATCTGCTTACATGTTTTTCTTCCCTAGATGTCTTCAGTTGGCCAGTGTCTGAGAGTGCTGGACAATGTGACCCGGCATGGTATAGCCTAGTGGGAAAGCTGGATCACAGGAAGGCTGTGATTTTCTGAAGTTCATATGAACTTAGGTTAGAACTAGGAACTGACTTCACACCTACAAAGCATCATATCAGGAATACAGCAATGCATAACCACAGGGACAGTTTCCTGCACGACTGTGTGCCAGAGTTTCACTTGCTGGTCTGGAAACGAACCAGGCAGTAAAAGCGATTAGCAGTGGAAAGACACTAGACAGCTGTAATTATCTAAATGCCTTCCTATTAACCATGTGAGAAACTAAATCCTCACAATCACATTCATTAGTAAATGCTAATGACAAACTAACTACATGAAGTTTCATTTGATTAGGTAGAAGAATTTTACTCCAATATGATTATGTTACGCAGAATGACCTAAAAACCAAATAAAGCCAGCCTGGCTCAGAGAGCAAATGAATGTTAACACTAGCAGACAGGCAGAGGAGCCCTGTCCTTGCAGTACAAGGGCTGCTCCCATGTGAACCAACAGCATGGCCAGGCTCTCTCAGCTGATGACAAATGTTCCCAGCTGCTGGTCCTGCTGTGGATGCCTAGTGCAAGCGGGACCAAGCCAGACCTGCTGCAACACATTGTGGGGATTCACTGTGTATTAACACCATTTAGAAAACCCTGCAATGTCATAGTGAGAACAGACAGCAGGATAAAATCACCTTGATGCCTGCGCTGTTTTCCACCTGAAGGGAACAATGCGGTTCAATGGATAGGGCACTGACATGAGATACAAACACAGACTGATGGCCACTGACCTCAGAGGCGCCAGTTTTCGCCATCCCTGGCACCCCGTGTTGCTGAAGTGTGTCACCAGTCCCTATGCCAGATGCTCACTCCTTCCTGCATCTGCAGAGCACGAGGACAGCAAAACATGATGATTTCTACAGACATGTGCAAATACCACAGCAGACATCAGTTCTCAGGGCAGGCCGCTTTCTTGGTACCTTTGCTGATTCCTTTCTTGAAATACTGATAAAGAACAAGGTTTCCTGAGCTTGCCTTTTCTGAACACCCACAGACAGTGGCTAAGAAGAGAGGGTCTGTTGGCACTGAGGATGGAGGAGCTCACTGCACCTTTGCAGGAAGACTGAGGGCAATTCCAGCACCAACATGAATCCCACTTGACGTATAATGTCCACTATTCTAGACATCCACGTACTGCAGTGTCAAGCATGATGCCAATGTCCAGACACAACAAAACTATGTCCATTCATAACAAAATGACCATGTATCACAGCCCATCCAGAGCATGAAACACTTCATGGAAGACCTGTGTGCCTCCAGAGCCCAGGTACCACAGTGGCAAGGACATGAGGAAAGAGTGAAAGCCTGCACCAGAAGCTCCATTTCCAGCATGAGTTACAAAGTGTGATTGAAATGGTAATCCTCTTTTTTAAGCATGAGTTCCCTCCACACCCCTTTATTCTCAGGCAGATGATCTGGATTTCTGGTGTTTGTGTGATTTTGCCCAGTTGTGCAGTTGGGAGATTCAAACCCCCATGAGACCCTCCAGGCAAGGAGAACACAGCCTCTCCTCAGAGGCCACTCTACATTTCTGCACGGGCACAAGTCCCTCTGAAGCCCATGAAAGCTGCTCCTGCCCAGCTGAAGGGCCCTTAGACATCATCTCACTGCTCTCCTTCTGCTCCCCAGCCTGACTCGTGGACACTACGTGTGCTGTTGGCAGCCCAGGGACAACGCATGCACAGAGACCACAGGGCAGGCAGGTGCCCAAGCATCCTGCTGCTCTCTAGCCCTATCCTGTCACTATGCTGCAGGTGAATTCTTTATATATAATCAAATAAACCAGAAGGTTATTAGATTTGAATTAGCATTTGCTAACACAATTGATTGTGTGGATTTAGTCATCTAAATGGTCAATGCTAGGATATTTGGATAATTATTACTGTTCAGTGATATTTCTTCAGCTAATTGTTTTTATTGAATGACTCACTTTGATGTTGCAGCTGAAACCAGTGCATAGCTGGGATCCCAAAGACAGGCTTTTATCTGCCCAATCCACCTCCCAGCAGTTCCATCCTTCAGTGCATTCAGGTCCCTCTGGATGGTCCTTAGGAATGGAACCATTTGGGAACTGTTCCTGCCTCCTCCCATGTACGCCTCATCACATGTGGGATGATGTCTCACAGCAGCTTACCCCAACAGGGTTAAGAAAAAGTGAGCTAAACTGGGCTGAAGTGGGGGTTTTCTGAACTGCTTGAGTGGGCACCACCTGAGCAGGCACCAGTGCAACAGCCTGCATAAGCTGAGGTATTTCCTCCTCCACCCTCCTAAGCACACCCCACACTCACCTCCATGAGCAAAGACAACCCTTATGCTGCCCTCCTGCCCCCTCCTTCACAGAGGGGCTCAGCCTCACTGCACCACTCTCCCAGATTCAGGCTGAGCACCAGCCCCATAGTAGTGCCTGCCTACATAGGAGGGCTTGTGGGCATCTCTCCACAGGTGTCCCTCACCACATGCAGAGGGACACAAGTAAGGTTCTGCCTGTGCAGCATCATGCCAGTGTAGACAGCTCAGAGCTGATGTTAGTTTTCCCACCTGGAGCTGTCTGGAAAAGCCCAAAAGAGCAGACACCTGCTGCAGCAGCAAGAGTGTACCCATGCCTGCTTCCCTGTGATCAACAGCTTCCACAAGGTACGAGGTCTCCCTAGAACACTGTTTTACTCCCCAGGATCCCCAGAGACCTCTAGATGAGGCACCTGAGGGAGGGTATTAAGGCATACAGGACTGTAACTAACTCTCACAGTTATGCTGTGCCTGAAATGAGGCGATCTGGCTTGATTTTCATTCTACAATATATTGTAATTTGAAATCAGCTAAGCCAAACACATGGAAGGGCCACAGAGATCTGCAGGTTGTTCATAACCAAGGGAAACAGGGGGACTGCACCCCCAGCCCAGAGAGCAAAGTTATTCCATCCCACACAGGAGGGCTCAGCATTCTCCATAGTCATTCAACCTGAGTGACCTCAAGCTGACAGGGACTTGATGTTGCTCAGTAAGAAGGGTGGGAGAGGGTATCTCATGCACACCTTTTGCTGTCCATTACTCGCTAGCTAATTGTTCACAACCATCTCAGATGTCCTAAAGAAGTGCAGGACTGCACAGGCACACAACTTTGCTGAGTGGTGCCAGGAGACTGCTCCAGGCAGAGGTCAGAGCATGGAAGTGCCAGTGGCACAGAGAGATGCACTGAGTGACACTACCGTGACAGCAACAGCAGACAGTGTTGGGGGGGTGAGGACCCTCCCTTAGAAGGGAAGATATGAATATAACATGATGAATGCTTGTGAGGTTGGCAGATGCCAACCTTATGAAGTTTAACCATGACAAGTGCAAGGTCCTACACCTGGGGCGGAGCAATCCCAGGCACAGCTACAGGTTGGGCAGAGAAGAGATTCAGAGCAGCCCTGCGGAGAAGGACTTGGGGGTGTTGGTCGATGACAAAATGAACATGAGCCAGGTTCAGTGTGCGCTTGCAGCCCAAAAAGCCAACCGTATCCTGGGCTGCATCAAAAGGAGCATGACCAGCAGGTAGAAGGATGTGATCCTGCCCCTCTACTCTGCTCTCGTGAGACCTCACCTGGAGTATTGTGTGCAGTTCTGGTGTCCTCAACATAAAAAGGACATGGAACTGTTGGAACAAGTCCAGAGGAGGGCCACGAGGATGACTGGGGGGTGGAGCACCTCCTGTATGAAGACAGGCTGAGAAAGTTGGGGCTGTTCAGCCTGGGGAAGAGAAGGCTGCATGGAGACCTCATAGCAGCCTTCCAGTATCTGAAGGGGTGTTTATAAGGATGATGAGGAGGGACTCTTGGTGGGGAGGGACTCTTCATTAGGGACTGTAGTGGCAGGACAAGGGGTAATGGGTTAAAACTTAAACAGGGGAAGTTTAGACTGGATATAAGGAGGAAATTCTCTCCTGTTAGGGTGGTGAGGCACTGGAATGGGTTGCCCAGGGAAGTTGTGAATGCTCCATCCCTGACGGTGTTCAAGTCTGGGTTGGACAGAGCCTTGGGTGACATGGTTTAGTGTGTGGTGTCCCTGCCCATGGCAGGGGGGATGGAACTAGATGATCTTAAGGTCCTTTCCAACTGTAACTATTCTATGATTCTATGACAGGGTGTTCCTGTATACACATAGAGGGTGAGACATTGCTTTGGGAGGCAGGGGATGCAGCCAGTAAAAGGGTCTGGGTCTGTGGATGAAGGCAGAAGAAGAATTAAAAAGTATGACCATCAAACACTTGTTTCAAAGCGGGACCAACATGGCTTCTCTGCAGTGCTCTGGGGATAATCACCCCCTCCCATCTCACTTCCCTCACTGGCTTTCCCACAAACATGTTTCAGAGCCTCCATGAATCTTTTTGTCTCCAGCAAAAAACCAAACCCGTGGCGCTAAGTCTGTGTCGACAGAGGTCAGGGTTTTCCCAAGCAAGTTATGTTTCCCGTGCTTAGAGAGTCAGTCTGCAAAGAACTTGAAAATTACCTTTGCCCCATTTGTCCAGGATTCCTGGACATCTAGGAAGTCCAGCACTGTATGCCTTTGGGACTATGCCGTGTGTAGGCCCTCCAGACGTCACCATGGCACACACACATCACAGGGAGTTCACAGAACTGTGTATAAACTGTCTGTCCTAGAAAGGCAGGAGCTTATCCTGGATAGGTAATTTCTGTCTGGGAAACACCAGAGGCGTAAGTTAGGAAACAATGCCCACGAAATTGGAAGAAATCAGAGCCCTACAAGGCATATGCTAAATGGGAAATCATCCCAGGAACGGATGCAGCCTTGGAGAGAGATAAATTTAGACTCCATCCAGGCTGGAAAATCTGCATGCCATCTCCATCTGCTCTGCTCCTCTCCAGTGTGGCTCCACTAATGAATCAGTGGCACCCTCTGAAAGACACACTGCTGCTTCCGGTTCCCCTTTCTTACATGCAGTTCAGGAATGGCCAGCCTCCAACCACCAGCCTGGGTGGCAGAGGTGAAACAGCCCCACAGTGTGGCACTGCTCATCCCCTGGCTCCCACAAGTGCTGGTGGTCCTGAACCCACTGCCAGCCATCACTTGCCCCAGGAGAGGTCATGGTCAGAGTAAGTAGTTGGCTGCATGAAAACAAACTAATATAATGGAGCAAGAGCTGTATGAGGAAATCAAGATTTTATTATAACCTGATCTAGAGAACCTGAAAGTGCAGGGCATGGCATATTTGGAGTTCTCCCTCTACTCCACTCTTCCCCCTTTGTTCCACTCTCGCCCTCTACTCTGCTCTCATGAGACCCCACCTGGAGTACTGCGGTCAGCTCTGGGGCCCCCAGCATAAGAAGGATGTGGACTTGTTTGAGTAAGTCCAGATAAGGGCCATGAAGATGGTCAGAGGGCTGAAGCACCTCTCCTGTGAAAACAGACTGAGAGAGCTGGGGTTGTTCAGCCTAGAGAAAAGAATGCTCAGAGAGAGCTTAGCCTTCCAGGACCTAAAGGGAGCCTACAATAAATCTGGAGAGGGACTTTTTACAAGGGCATGTAGTGGTAGGACAAGGGGTAATGGCTTTAAGCTAAAAGAGGGTAGATTTGGATTAGACATTAGGAAATAATTCTTCACTGTGAGGGTGGTGAGGCACTGGAGCAGGTTGCCCAGAGAAGTTGTGGATATCCCATGCCTGGAAGTGTTCAAAGTTGGATGGGACTTTTAGCAAATTGATCTACTGTCCCTGCCCATGACGGAAAGATTTGAACTAGATGGTCCCTTCCAACCCAAAGCATTCTATGATTTTATAAGTTCGGAAAAATCTGCATTTAACCCCCCGTGAGCCTGACTCTCTCAGTCTGTAAATCAGAGCTCATCTAGCACCCCGATAAATGCTGTCCTTTGGTGCTCTTCTTCCAGCTTGCTCTCCTGTAGAGAATAACTGAGCTACCCCAGGTGCTGCAGCCCCACTCTCGGCAACAGCCATTTGCATAGGTAGAAGAAGGACAGGCTGGACCAGCAGGACGTGGCACCAGAAACACATCCCGTCCTTGGCAAGGCTGTGCACACTATGTGCTGGCACAGCCAATGCTCCAGCTCTGAGCATGGCTCACAACTGCCTGAGAAAAAAATCAGGTTAAAACCCAAGGAACTTCCCAAGGAAAGCCGCAGAGCACCCAGATGGGCATTCTGCACTGACATACTTGAAGTGCCTCTTAGCACTACCTCAGCAGCAGCTGCTGCTGACACCTGCTGCCAGCCTCAGGCAATTTGTGGGTGGCAGATTGGGGTTACCTCCTCTAGAGCCATGTGGTCTGCTGGGCTTCAGGGTTTCAAAGGACTTTCACTAGGAGATGGAGCAGAGAGCCAGCCCTCCTCCAAAGGGGATGTGCACAGGAGGAACTTACCTTGAGACAGTCCCTCGGCTGGCAGTCCCAGGGCTTTTTCAGGAAGCACCCAGCCCAAAGTTCATCTTCTGTTGCTTGTTGGCTTTTTTTTTTTATCTCTGAGTTATGCTCTCAGTATTGTCTAGTATTTCCTGCTTCCTCCTCTGGCAGCTCCCCTGCTAGTGCAGACACACAGCTATAGCACTCAGCGCATTAGCCCCTGCATTTGCCACATCCGTCCCCAGGGAAATCCCTGGGCCCACATACAGTTCAGCTTCTAATTAAGGCTTGCCGTGTGCTGTCTGCGGCAGCAGGCTCCGTTGCTCACAGAAGCAGCATACTGGCTTCTTTATGTTTATCCAGGATGATTTGCACCCACCAGCTTTAGGCACAAGGGTTGCACAGAGCACAAGAGGGCTTGGAGCAAACTGCTGAAACAGATGGCTTGCTCTACCTGTATGCAACCTCCTGCTCAAGCAGCCCAGCATAACTCAGTTCAGGTCTTTCATTTGCTCAAAATATCACCTAGCATCACAGGAAAATTGTATCCAGATCCAGTTTTGACCTTCTGGATACATAATCCAAGTGGAAAGAAGCTCCCCCTCTTTGGCATGGCTCTGCTGGCTGCCCACACTCACCCTCTGCCAGGCAGAGCTCTCCCTCCTTCAGTCTCACCTGGTCAGTTTTCTGCACTGTCCCACCATGCCACTCTCTCCACCTTTGCAAGATTCCTACTTCCTGGGAAGAACTGGAGGCTATAACATTCCCAAGTGTCACGGCTGCCCGCAGTGGGAAAGTCCCTTTATTAATTACTTGCATGTTCCCAGTTCATGTTTTTCCACATCAGGTGCTTCCATTCTGCCTGCAGCCACAGAGGGGGCTGTACTGATGGGGACCAGTGTTACTCATATTGCTGAAGGGAAAGTTGTACAAGCTTAGGAAAAGTGCCTTTGCTTCTTTTTGCCCCCAGCCCAAGTCTCTTCTTTCTTACATGAAACACATGTGGCAGCAAGCTTTGCTGCATCAGGCAGTGAGCATCAGCTTAAAGTTTTGCAAGTAGCATGCTTTAACAAAACTTCCACATGAGAATGGGAATGACACCAGAGAAAACCTTCCAAGTGGGAACCGATTTCAAATTACTTGACCTGTATTTACTCTTAAGGCATAACAATAAAAACAGTTTAAGCTGGTAGAGTACATCTCATCCCTAAGGATCCCCAGAAATGCGAGGATATATAAACAGCTCATCCTTCAAGCAGAGAAATGTAGATCTTCCAGGGACACAGAACACCAGTTTAAGAGAGGCCAAAAATAAGCTTCAGTCTAAAAGTAAAAACAGAGACTAATGTAGCCAGCCAGAAATGCAGGCCCATTAGACTCCATTTCTGTATCTGTGGGACATGGGTAGGATCTTAAATGACCTAATTTGGACCTTGGTTTTACATGCCAAAATGACTCCTCACACTGTTTGCTTGGATATTATATTAGCTCAAATAAGGTGGAGAAATGCTTCCTACTGCATCTACCACACTGCTATTTGGAGTGTCTGACTATCTCATAATAGTCTCCAATGAAAAAGTCTGAGGAGGTAGGGATACTTCTCATTTGGTCATTTTTTTTCAAAGCTTTCAAATTAGTAGCAGTCATGCTATTATTAGAGAGCAGGAGGGAAACACGTTTTCCTTGTTTACCACCGGACTAATTGTTCAGAGCTGCCTGTTTCTTATCTCTACAGCAGCTGCAAATGGGAGCCTGAGATATGTGGATTTTAATTGCAAAACGTTACCAGAATGACAGTGTTAAGTGCTCCCTGGCTTCCAACACGCTAGCAAAGTATGTAGACTTGGAGCAACAAACTGGAGTCCTATTCCAAAGGGGTATCTGCATATGTACATACACATGCAGACAGCAGGTTTGCTTTCGGTTTTAACAGCCTGGGCCAAGATCCTGCTGGATGTTGTGCTATCTTTCCTGGTACATTTGCTGTGAGCCATGCATAGTCCTCAAGATTAAATGAGAGGAAACAGTTAATAGGTATCTGCAGCAGCAGTCACAAAAGGATGAAGTTAAGGGACCAACTCTGGTAAATCAACAGCACCACAGCGACAGCACTAGACGGCTCTCATGATTACTGTGGCAATCAGAAAATTACAGTTTAATGTGTTTGCTGCAGGAAGCAGCACGAGAATCCTTCATGTACTTTAAAGACTGATTAAAACCCTACTGCCCCTTTTCAGCATTCAGGCACGCAAGGCAGCTTCTCAGCACCTGGCCAGCTGCTTTCTGCAGGTAGAACAAGAACAAACACCTCCTGCTACAGCCCCACAGCCCTGACAATTGAGTGCCTGGGGCACTCAGAGTGGAGGAGGCTTTTGCAAAATCTATCCCTTAGGTATCAGGTGCAAAACTACCTCTTGTGTTTACAGCCTTTTACACTGTTATGGTGACTAGGTAGTCCCTTGGTCTTGAACAGCCTTCTGGACCAGGCAGTGGAGACTGCTAACATAATCCCCAATTAAAAAGTGCAGAGAACTTTAATCTTCTCTCAAACTGATACGCATAAAAAACACTCCTGTGAAATTACTGAGACATAGCAGAGGTATTAAACCAGAATACACAGAAGAAAATGAGGGTTAAGTTTGGCATAGATGAGTGCAGCGTTCATAAAGCTGTGATCCTGTTTTGGCAGAGTTAACCCCTGTCCCCCCTATCCTCCATCCCCTGAACCATATCTAAGCCTCCCGGAACTGCAACAAGTGGGTGAGAGGCTATGTGGGAAATCAAGAGTTGTGACAGGCCCCACTCTACAGCCAAAAACCATTTATCCAAAAGTTGAGCTTGTTTTTTCCTATTCTTTTTCTCTTGTGGACCATGTAGAAAATTGTACAGAACTGCTAGAATGTGTTACTTTTAAAAAAAAAAAAAAAGACAGTACCTCAGTAGCACAAAAGCAGGCTCAATGACCTTATCGCTGCTGCAAAACCTTTGCTTTATACCAATTTCTATATGCATCCCTTTAGGCAAACATTTTACAACAAACTCGTTAGCTGTGAGGAGTTACAGATAAGACAGCAGCTTTGTTTTAATGTCAACAAAGGTTCCGTCCACCACTGCATCCATGCTGGCTGATACTTTACATGTAGATCAGGGTGTAGGGCTGAATCCCTTCTCTGTCCGTGCTTTTGGCTGCCTGATATCCAGGGCTGCTGGCCCATGTCTGGGGGCCCCCTTGATGCATGGGACCAGGCTGAAGAGCAGCTGTGGGGCAGCAGCATCTCCGTAGGGCAGGAAGTGGGCTGGCCTTGGTGTGACTTTCCATCCAGAAAACATTTTCCATCTCCTTTCCATCACCTACGAGTGGCTGCAGTACCACTGAGTTAAAACACACCCAAAACAAAAGCACCTCGCGTGCCTCCAAAAAGAGGTTTCTGCTGGCAAATGCTTGCTAAAAATAGCCCTGTCCTTGCCTGTGAGAGCAACTGGAGGTCACTTATAGAAGAGGCAAAGAACTCACTTTGCTCAACTCGGTTTCCAGCCATCACAGCGAGGACGGGAAGTTTTAAAGTTTAATTTCTGTGTGGTTCTAGCAAAACCCCAACTAGAGGCAGCATGGTTGGCCTTGATTCCCCTGCTAGTCAGAGCAGGAGCTTGCTTTCCAGCTCCCATCCTCCTTTTTTTGCAGGGAAGCAGGTAGGAGGAGATTCATTTGTTAATTAAATTTCCCCTGCCAATTTACATTACAAAGGAGACATTGTTGCAAGAAGCTCACAAAAGTTTCATAACCCTTAACCTATTAAAGAAAGAGTTGTACGGCTTTTTTCTAAACCTGCCCAAAAGCACCATTGGGTTGTCCCAGCCCAAGTGACTAACAGCAAAAAAAAGTTCAGGAATGGCACAGCTGGGCTGAAAATCAGGAACATCTGATCACAGAAAGTCAGGCGTTCGCAGTCTCCTCTGGCTCCCCCTTTCATCTTTGGATTTTCTCATAAGTTCGTGTTCAAAGGGATGCCATCCCATGGGAAAATGACAAGAAAAAAACACAGACACTTACTCAGATAAGCCAGCAATAGTTGCAAGAGAAGAAAAATTCTTCATGGGAATCCCCCACATCTGAGAAGTAGAAGCAGAAATTCACCAGGGAAAAATACAGTGCTTTCAGCCCCACAGACAATGCCTTTTATCCATGTGGGAGCCTGCAGTTATCCAGTTTTCATTACCCACAGATGGCACAACAGCAAAGAATCATTAACAACGGCCAGAGAAAGTAAGAATAACAGCAGAAGGTGTAATTTTTTTTCTTAAAAAGGTTTGTTCTGTTATAGAAATACAGCTTTTGAAAGAGGCCTGTTTAGTCCTGTGCCAGACCTGGATGTACAGGACTGGCTCAGAATTCTCCTGCTCATTCCAGATCCCACTGTACTGAAAGAGAAAACACTTCCGTAGCAGAGATGAGAAATCCTCTGAACGCTGAGGCAACACCTGCATACTTGCAGGTCTTATGACAGTGTAACACCAGCAATGTGCAGTATTACTTAAATCTCTCCAAAAAGCCATGCACCCCCAAGCAACAGCAGAGCAGACTTGCAGCATGCTGATGCAGTTGCAGCCTCGGCATTGACCTGGGTAGTTTTGGTTCCCCGAACTTCTTGCATGACCTTGCTACCCTGGGCTAGCTACAAAGCCTGCTCTTGCTCATCAAACTCCTAAGGGAGTCCCTCTGACCAGCCCTCAGAACGATCCTCCAAGGGTCAGGGATCTGCTCTCGTGCAGATGAGGGCAGTGGAGGAGAGCTGTTGCACTACACTGCACCTCATGGGTGGTGGAGCTTCTACGAGTGCGATCTCCACTGCTTTGTATGCTTGCACACTGGCCTTCTGGCCTGAGACATCCCGCAGCCCCTCTTAGCAAACAGCAACTGGTGGAAATTCGGGGGGCATGCAGGGTGCCCTGCATGGTGGGGCCCAGGGAGCAAGGACCCCTGCAGCGAGCAAGGGGCCCAGCAGCAGTGCGCACACCAGCAGCCCCGGTGAGGAGGGTGCACCGGGAGCACCACGACCTGGCAGGGCAGGGAAAGCCCCCCGGGAAAGCCGGCAAGGGGCAGCTGCCTGGGGCGCAGCAGGGAAGTACCGACGGGGACGCCGGGCAGGCGAGTACTTCCCCCTGACGTGGATAAACGCCAAGTCCCCTCCCGCGGCGGAGGGGAGGGGAGGGAAGGGGTCGGCTCGGGAGGGGCTGGCCCGAGCCGATCCGCCCTCCCTCCCAGGGGCACCAAGCAGGACCAGACCCGTCGGTCAGGCTTTGAGTGGCTGGAAATTCCCGTCCTCGGCGGCTCCTCCCCTGCAGAAATCCCCTGTCCGCGGTGTATATGCGAAGCGCCGCCGCCGCCGCCGCCGCTCACTCCCAGCAAGCCGCCGCCATGATCAGTGCCAGCCGTTTCGCCGAGCCGCCGGTTATGGAGGGCTACGAGCAGCCAAAGAAAGACCGTCAGGGCGGGCTCCCGCTCGACGATCGCCACGACAGCGGCTTGGGTTCCATGAAGGAGGAGGATTACGGGCAGCTGGTGAAGGAGCTGGAAGACATACGCTTGCAGCCCCGCGAACCGCCCGCCTGGGCACAGCAGCTGACAGAGGACGGGGACACGTAAGTGGGGGTTTGGGAAGGTGGGGTCGATGAGCATGGACGTGGCGGGGACATGGCACGGTGGGAACGGGACAAGATGTGCTGCTGGCGGGGAGGCGCCGGCCTGGCGGCGGTGGGGAAGGGAGGGAAGGGAGGAGGAGGAGGCCGGAAAGTCCCTGGAGGGGCGCCAGGGAGAGGCGGCTCCGCGGCGCGGAAAGCCCCGGCCGCCGAAAGCCCCTGCTTGCGACACACGCGCATGACCCCTCGCCGGCCCCGCCTCCGCACTGGGGGGTTTAACGTGGGGTTTGAGAGGTTTGACGTGGGATGTTCAGGTTTTATTATTTCCTCCCCTGCAGTTTTCTCCACTTGGCGATTATTCACGAGGAGAAAGCCCTGAGCCTGGAGGTGATCCGGCAGACGGCCGGGGACCGTGCTTTCCTGAACTTCCAGAACAACCTCAGCCAGGTACTTGCACCTCCGCAGCCCCAGATACACATCATCCCCTGCCACCCCACAAAGGCTCTCTGGGGAACTGCCCCCCCCACCCCCAACTTTTCTTTTATTTGTTAATCAATGGAATCAATTAAATCACAGCCTGCTTGAATCAAAGCCTGCATTCAGGCAAGTCGCCAGCTGGCTCCAGCCAGCGTTACTACAACACTTCCTCTACCCCAAGAGTGGCACTTAACACCCACATTTTTCAAATGTGATGCAATGGGTTGCATCCCTCTTTACTGGGATGTTAATGATACCTTTCATATATATTGACCGTTGGGTATCCGGAGAACCCTAAGTTCATCACTTCCAGACTAAAGGTCAACTCTACAATATGTTGGGAAGCATAAAGAGCTGAGTTCATGGGGTGTGATTTTAACTGGGGGCACAAACCACCAAGCGGTTGAGGGGTCTGTCCAGCCAGATGTTGCTGCCAGGTTTGTGGCATAGCTTACAGGTCTGCTTTTTCTCTTTTGCCTGCAGACTCCTCTTCACCTGGCAGTGATCACTGACCAGCCTGAAATTGCTGAGCATCTTCTGAAGGCTGGATGCAACCTGGAAATCAGGGACTTCCGAGGAAACACCCCTCTGCACATCGCTTGCCAGCAGGGGTCCCTCAGGAGTGTCAGTGTCCTCACTCAGTACTGCCCCCCACACCACCTCCTCGCTGTCTTACAGGCAACCAACTACAACGGTATGGGCACACTGCTGTACATCGATGTCGGGGTGCTGTGCTGAGGTTAGGGTTGGTGTTCCATAGAGCCCAAAGACCTCTGGAGAGGTGGAGGAGGATCATTACACTTGATTGAGAGTTGAGAAGCCCAAAGCGCACAGCAGTGCCTTGAGTTCTTCAAAATGTCACTTAGAGGCCTCCTCACTGTTGATTATTGGCTCTGATGGCTTTGAATTTTGCATTTTTAGCAAGTAGGTCTGCAGAACTCCTTTTTTCTTGGGTTGCAATAAGTTGCACTCAAACACTGGAATGAAGCCTCTAAGAAATCTTTCCAAAATCCAACCCTGTTATTCATACTTACTGGAAGCTGGAAGGCTGTTATGAAAAACACCCTTTTGCCATGGATGAATCGCAAACTTAGATATCATCCTGTCCTATTATCTTGATTTTTAACTGAATACTAGGACATGAGGTTAAACTTACTCAAATTTTCCCTTAATTTGTGTTTGGCAGGACATACTTGTCTCCATTTGGCATCTATTCAAGGATACCTTGCTGTTGTTGAATACTTGCTGTCCTTGGGAGCAGATGTAAATGCTCAGGTATGTAATGTATACAGTGAATTTAACTGAGCTGGGCTGTGTAGTTGTTAGAATCAACAGGTCTGTCACAGACTCTGGTTTTCCTAACATGCCAAACCTTGTGCTATTTTCACGCAGGAGCCATGCAATGGGAGAACTGCACTACATTTGGCTGTCGACCTGCAGAATTCAGACCTGGTGTCACTTCTGGTGAAACATGGGGCAGACGTGAACAAAGTGACCTACCAAGGATACTCCCCGTATCAGCTCACATGGGGGAGAGAGAATTCCAGCATACAGGAACAGCTGAAGCAGCTGACCATGGCCGACCTGCAGATGTTGCCAGAAAGTGAGGATGAGGAGAGCAGTGAATCGGAGCCCGAATCAACAGAGGATGAAGTAAGTAGCTATTTACGCCTTTTCAGGAGAAGGGCAAATCCTGCCCTTTGTAGGTTTTCTTGTGGTGCTCCAATGATCTCTTATCTATGTAACAGATGGGTATAAATTGCCCATAAAGTGAGATTGCACTATCAACCATCAAGCATATAAATAGAAAAAGAATAAAAGGTAAAAAATAACCTGAGGGAATGTTGCTTCATGCAACACCATTCTGTTTGCTGATATCTACAGAACCTGTGAAATAAAATTCAAGTTAATGGACGGTTTACTCCTCCCTAGCATTTGTTTTTCTAACGTTCTTAGTGCTGTTAAATGGCAAATGTAACCATTTCAGTGTAGAAATTTTCCACACTGCTGAAGTCAGGGCATGCAGAATTTGGCAGTTAGCCCAGAGTGGATAGGATACTCCCAGTCAGAGTTTCACATTAACAGCCTTTTGTTTTTTTCTTGCAGCTTATGTATGATGACTGCCTTATTGGAGGACGACAGCTGACATTTTAAGGCAGAGCCTTCTGTGAAAAGAAGTGACTGTGCACATATGTATAGACAAAGAACTGACTTTTCATTTAAAAAGAAAGTCGCAATGCAGAGGGAAGAACCAGGAGGGGGATACTACACTGCCCAGCAAGGAGCACATAATTGTGACAGGACGGTTCCAGATTCTGGCCTGTGTTTAAATACAGGAGTGGAATATGTAGCACCAGTAGGGATCTGTGATTATGCACACCATCTGATAAAGAGCCACACAGCCAGTCTTCTCAACCCTGTGAAGGTAGCCGACTACACATCTAACCTGCTATCAGCAAGCTCTCTTGTGGCATCAAGTACCACAAGGAATGAGTATCCTCTCATGACAAGGCAGGCATGTACCAGCACCCCATCTTCTCAGAGACTGTGTTAACTTGTGTTGGGCTGGTGGCACTGCCTGGACTTACCGACCAACCTCAGCTGCTCCCAGTGTCGTGTCCCAGGCAGAGGAGTCAAGCCAGGGGACTGGTGACCTCCTGGCTGTTACGAAAAATAGCAGTAATGTTAACTGTGGGCATTGGAAACAGTATGTTTCACACAATGTGTGTCATAATAGCTACACTTTTTAGCAATTGTATATTGTGTAAATAGTGTACATTTTTGTTTATAATTATTTTGGTACCTGTGAGATATGTATTTATTAAAAAAAAGATTACCTGGTTTGTGAAATGGTTCATTGCCCACCTCATTGTCCTGAGATACCGGGGAACCCACCTGCTTTGCTTTTCAAGAAACGTTCAACACCTTGTAGACCGATGGGGTCGCAGGCTCAGGGGTTTGAGGTGGTTTCAGCAGCAGGAGCACATCTAAGAGCGTGCAGCTCCCAGCTCTTCTGCTGCAGCTAATTTTGGAAGATGTGGGTGGCATTTCCTGTGCCTGTGTCGGCAGGTGGGTCGTGGGGCTGGGGTTCCCTCTCTGACACCCAAGCACCAGGTCGCTGCTTCTACAGAGGGGCTCTGTAGTAGCATCTACCCGCCTTCATGGCACCTTTTGTTCCACCTCCAGTACTCAGCAGCTCCTGCTGGGACTTGCTGGTGGAGGCTGGAGTTTGCAACATTGCTTGCCCTCTTGTTTATCACCTGGCCCAGCTCTGGTTTGAACTTGGACACCTTTGGATTTTCCAAAGGGGATTTCCGCAGGAAGAGGGAGCACACACCCAAGAACACGTGCTGCTGCCTTCCACCCCTGAAATTCAGGCATGGGGCCTCCCTACCCTTCCTGCTGCAGAAGTTACAGCTCTTCCTTCTCCAATGCAGAGCAGTGGAGGATGCGGTTTTAACCCACTTCAGTTACTCCTGCTTGTTTCCCTCCAGCATTCTAGCTGATGGAATCACTTTGCTCAAATCCTCACCTGCACCTAATTATCTGTTGGCAACACAGGACTAATTGTAGCCACAGATTTTAACCCATTGTGTGACTATGCAGAGGGTGGGTTGCATAAAGGGTGACCATACTCCATTCCTTCTGTGCTGTAACCCCCTGGATGGGGATGGAGCATGGCAGAGCTGCTGACGCAGGACTGAGCTCTGCCAAAAGTGTTGGCCAGAGGACTTGTGTGCTGCTGGCACCCAGCCCAGCTCAGACCACTGGAGAAGGCCAGAGTTCCAAATTACACAGGGACACCCATTCCCTTTTCTGCTCTGCTC